TAGAAAGCATTGTTGAGGTATAAAATGGATAGTTTCAATTATTTAAAATTAAAAATTTCTTGTATAAATAAAACTAATGTAGCCAAGATTAGAAGTAAAGCATAAAATTGGGGGAAAACTTTCATAGATGGTCTCTCAGATAAAGGTCTAATTTCTCAAATATGTAAAGAACTTTGTCAAATTTATAAGAATATGAGTCATCCTGCAATTGATAAATGGTCAAGGGATATGGACAGGAAGTTTTTCAATGAAGAAATTAAAACTATACATAATCATGTAAAATGCTCTAAATTAATATTTATTAGAGAAATGAAAATTAAAACAACTTTGAGGTATCATCTTACACATATCAGATTGGCTAAAATGATAGATGCCCTTCCATAGAGGAATGGCTAAACAAGTTGTAGTATCTGATCATCACGGCATGCTACAGTGATATAAGAAATGATGAGCTGGTTGATGTAGAAATACATGGAAAGACTTGGACCCGTGAAGGAACATGCTATCCACCTCCAGAGAAAGAACTGACAAACAGAAATAGACATAGTATGTATGGTCTTACATATATGCATATGTGTGTATGTATGTGTATGTTTATAGATCTGAATGTATATATGTGTGTGTGTGTGTGTGTGTATATATATATATATGTATATATATATATTCATGTGTAATTGTAGCCTTCTGTAAGGAGGGGTGGGGAGGGAGGGAGAAAAAAATAAAAAGTGCACAGCAGAGAACAAAAGAAAACCTAGAAGGAAGTACAGAAAAGCTGGGTAGTTTTGAAAACAATGTATAGTATTTATTACATAGGTTAAAAAAGTAAACATTTTGAAATGGAAATTTATTGTTTTATATTGAATTCTCTCATGTTCTGCTGTGTATATGGAAATGTTCTTTTTTCTTTTCTCATTTTGTACTTAAGTTTAAAATGAATAAAAAAGAAAAAAGAAAAAGAATAAAAGCTTGAATTTGTGTAATGCTTTAAGGTTTTCAAAGCCCTTTACCAACATTATCTCATTTTATCCTCATAATAATCCTTATAGATGCTTTTAAAATGGGTATAAATCCACTTTACAGATAAGGAATTGAAAAATAGAAAGGTTAGGTGACTTGCCCAGAATCAGACAGCTAGTGTCTGAGGCTGTGTTTGAATTCGCCTTCCTAACTTGAGGTCCCTTGCTCTATCTATTTTGCTATCTAGCTGTTGAATAGAATAAATTCAGCATATTAATTTCAAAAATGTCTTGCTTGTTCCTTCTGAACCTCCTTCTGCTTTATTCTGCCCAGATTAAACAAAAAGCTTGTTTCTTCTTCCTTCCTTCCTTCCTTCCTTCCTTCCTTCCTTCCTTCCTTCCTTCCTTCCTTCCTTCCTTCCTTCCTTCCTTCCTTCCTTCCTTCCTTCCTTTCTTCCTCCCTCCCTCTCCCTCATTCTCTCTCTTCCTTTCTCTCTCTGTCTCTCTCTCCTATTTATCATCCCCCTCTCCACACCACAAAAACCCTGATGCCTTTCTAATAACAAATGAATGTACTCAAACAAAACAAATTCACACATTAGCCACGTCACAAATGGCTATTTTAATCTGCCCCTTGGTCTTCCAGCTTCTCTGACAAGGGCATTGGTGAACTTCATCAACCCTCTGGAGTAGCAGCTGGTCATTGAATTGAGCAGAGTTATAAGTCTTTCCAACCTATTTTTCTTTACAATGTTATCATTACTGTGTAAATTGTTCTTCTGGTTCTTCTCACTTCACTCTCCATCAATTCATAAATCTTCTCTGTTGTCTCTTAATTCATCACTTCATCATTTCCTATAGGGCAATAATATTCCACTCAGTGCATATAACATTTTATTTAGACATTCCAGGCACCACCATAGCTTATTTTTTTTTAACTAAAACCAAAAATGGTGTTACAAGTATTTTTGCATATAAATCCTTTCCCCATATCTTTGATCACTTTGGAGGTATAGGCCTAGTAGTAGTAACACTGGTTCAAAGGGTATGCAAAATTGAGTGTCTTTTAGAGATATAGCCCTGAATTCCTTTTTTATTTTTTATTTACTTTTATTATTTTATTTTAGGCAACTGGGGTTGAGTGACTTGCCCAGGGTCACACAGCTAGTAAGTGTCAAGTGTTTGGTCTGAGGCCAGATTTGAACTCAGGTCCTCCTGACTTCAGGGCTGGTGGTCTATCCACTGTACCACCTAGCTGCCCCATCTATTGTGCTTTTAAAATTAAATGTGGCTGACTGAATTGCTCTCTCAAGATTTTGTCTATCCTTGCCTCATGGCTGGTAGTTGTTAGATGTCTTGATTTGAATCATTTTCAGAAGAATTGAAGAGTTTTATCCAGGCACCATTTTTTTGTAGTAAAATTTAGCTGCATAGAGAAGGTTGTAGTGATAACACACTGTTTAAGTCCTCTTCAAGGTACTTTTCTCCTTCCTCCTTTTGATCAAGGGTCTGGAGCTTCAGTGTAAGAACCTTAATGTAAGCATCTTCTAGGTTGTTGGGGACTGACTGTCTTAGTGGTTCTAGAGAAATACTAGGATGATCTCTTCTGCTAGGGTTATCCAGACAAAACATGGCTATTGCAAATCCAGTGTTAAATACAAAATTCTCAGTCTCTGATTCCAGGGCTTTTTGGAAATAAGCTTTGGCCCCTTCATAATACTTACTTACAAACTTGAGCAGGGCCCACCCTTCCCCACAATCAGTTTCTCTAAGTTCCTCTTTCTAGCGGAAAGGACTTGAAAGCCGTTTACAATTTGCTTCTCCTTGTCTAGGTTAAGTCTGGGCTTCGGGGAGTCTGTCAAAATATTTCCATCAATGGCCTGAAACGTTCACTTCATTTACTCAATTGAACCTTGGGTTAACAAATATTAACTTTTTTTTTTTTGACTAGGCAATGGGGTTAAGTGACTTGCCCAGGATCACACAGCTAGTTAAGTGTTACATGTCTGAGGCTGAATTTGAACTCAGGTCCTCCTGACTCCAGGGCCAGTACTCTATCCACTGCTCTCCCTAGCTGCTCTGACAAATATTAACTCTTTAAAAATCTAAATACTTCTGTAAGACTAAGGAAATTCTAAGGTATTAGTGTTACTGAGATTTGGCTTACGTTGCTTTTTCCCTTTTAGATCAATTTTTCCTTTCAGCAACCCTCATAATCCATCAGAGCACAGAATTTAGTTATCTGGATTCCAGCTTTTGTCATCCACAAGCTGTTTCTGCAAGATATGTTGCTTTTTAAATTTACATTGTGGATCGGAATGAATTGTACCTCAAACTAAAAAAACTGCACTGGAACTCAAATGGAATTGAGAATTGAAAGTAGGAAAGGAGACAGGGTAATTTCGAAGCATGAAGCTTTGAGGGAATCAGGAAAGGGACAGGATCAGCCTAAAATGGAGTCGTCAAGTTTCCTTCAAGTTGTATGAATTATATGACCGAGGTTTTGAGGAGGGACAAAGTTCATCTATTTCAAAAGTTCTATGTATGTTTTTCACTTCCCCCAAAGAAGAAGTCTTATTTATGTCTCATGACCCTTTAAGTACAGTATTATAGTTAAAGAAAAAAACAATCAACTGATAAAGTATTTAGCCATAGGGAGTGGGGTGGGGACAGTTAGGAAAAAAGAAACTGGAAATGAGACTGATTCACAATGAGGTAGAGGTCATTTTGGAGAAAGGTCACTTAATGGTGAAGGCTGAATGCTGTGACAAAAGATTGGTTAAGAATCCAGAATTATTTTTCTAATTGAGATGTTTTTTTAAAAAAATCACTGTCATTTCTGATTATATCCCTTCCCCTACACTATATCTTATGAGCAATCTCTGATAATTATTCATTTTTTAAAAGAAAGAAAGGAAAATCTAAGAATATGGACCCTTCTTTGGAGTAGAATCATTTGGAAGGTTTTTGGGGAAAGTAATTTCATTTAAATCCAGATTAACTAGTGGGAGGTGATGTGGTGGTATAAAGAACAAGAACAGAAAGTAGGATCATTGCTTGACTTTGGGACACCCCATTTTTCTGAGCCTCAATTTCCTTATTAGTGAAAAAAGAGCTTAAGGCCAATTAGACTCTGATTTGTAAGATGTGTTTGGTTTGGGGGCATTTAGAGTATGCAGTTATGGTGAGATATATGAGTTGAAATGTCCTGAGATATTGGAGATATGGAACTGGAACAATGGGAACTGGCCCCCTAGAGATATAGATTGGAAAGTGATCTGCCGAAAAGAGCTAAGTATTATTGCTGAGCATCCAAACTCTCACTGAGAAGAGTGGCAGCAGAACAGAGAGGGCTGGTGTTTAGAAGTAAGAAGACAGCCTGTGAAGGTGTTAGAAGAATGAAAAGAGACAAAGAAGTAAATCTACCATAGCCACTGATGGAGGCTTTTATTTTCAGCATCCAATTCATCCATCCATCCATCCATCAATCAGTCAACAATCAGTCAGTCAATAAACATTTATTTTTAAACTTTTTTTTGCTTTAAATAGTATTATTTTTCCCACAATTACAAATCAAGAAAAATTTTAGCATTCATTTTTATGAAATTTTGAGTTCCAAATTTTTCTCCCTCCCTCCCCTCCCCTCTTAGTTAATACATATGCTATCATGTAAAACATATTTCCATATTCACTACAATTATGGAAAAAGATACAGATCAAAAGTAAAAAAAAAACACGAGAAAGAATAAAGTGAAAAAGATATGCTTCAATCTGCATTCAGAGTCCATCAGTTCTCTATCAGGATAGCATTTTCCTTTATGAGTCCTTCGCATTTGTCTTGAATCATTGTTCAATAAACATTTATCAGGCACCTACCATGTACCAGGCATTGAACTAAGTAAGCACTGTGCTAGACATTTGAGATACAATTCCAAAGAATGCAATGATCCTTACTCTCAAGGAGTTTGCATTCTAGTAGACAAGAAGTCAATATGAAAAAAATACAGAACGAATACGCATGGAATAGGCACAACTGAATATAAACTCTGCAGATACAAGGTGTTTGCTGAGAAAAGAATGCAGTGGCAACTGAGGGGATCTGGAAAGGCTTCAAGAAGAAGCTAGTGCTTCTTGAGCAGCATCTGGAGGGAACAGAGGTGTTCCAGAAAGCAGAAGGGAGGAGCCCGCCTTTAGAGCTGTCTCGTACAGCTGTATGGCTTGTCCTGGATCTCCTTTCATTTTATGGATGAATCCTAGGAGACTCAAACTCTCTACATCTGATGCATTTCTCTGAAGACGCTTTTTAGCGAGTTTCTCCAAAGCAATTAGAAGCCATTTATTTTTTGGGTTTATTTTTAGTCCTTCCAGGTAAAGGGTGAAAGCATCAGCCTCAGACCTCTTGTGAAACTCTAGAAACTGGCCATAGTTATAGAGGACCTCTTGCTTTATCTTATCTTGAAGTTGTTTCATATTTAGTACCCTCTGGTAGCTTTCTTCTGCTTTTTGGAAGTCACCTGCTTCTGCATACATGTTGCCTAGTTCTATGTGACTTACCTCAAATGTGGGTCTGTACTCTGTCGCAGTTTTAAAATGAAATATGGCTGATTGAATTATTTCATCAAGATCTTGTCTATCCCTGCCTTGTGGCTTGTAGTTGGTAGCTTTCTTGATTTCAATCATTTTCAACTTGTAACAAAATCCCATCTGGTGATGTAGGACAGCAGAGAACGGAGTGGCTTGCAAAGCAATTTTTAAGAAATGCAAAGCTTTATCCAGGCGCCTTTTCTTGCCATAAAATTTGGCTGCATAGCGAAGAATGTAGGGCTGTGATGACATATTTTCTAAAGCTTCTTTAAGGTACTTTTTTCCTTCTTTCTCTTGTTTAAGGCCTTGGAGCTTCATGGCAAGAAGAACTTTAAGGTAAGCATCTTCTGGGTTGATTGCGACTGCCCGTCGTAGCGGCTCTAGAGAAATACTAGGTTCTGGAGAAATATTTTGATGACAATCCAGACGGTACATCGTAATCGCGAATCCAGTGTTAAATTCAGGGTTCTCAGGCTCTGATTCCAGGGCCTTTTGGAAACAAGCTTTGGCCTTTTCATAATACTCCTTTCCAAACTTGAGCAGGGCCCACCCTTCCTCACAGTCAATTTCTGGAAGTTCTACTTTATAGCGGAAGGGGCTTGAAAGCCTCTTACAACTTGCTTCTACCTTCTCCAGGTAAGTCTGGGCTTCAGGGAGTCTGTCCATGTTATAATAGATCCAGGCATAGTTTCCCCAGGTCACAAGGCTTTTTATCTTTCCTTGATTATCATCATTCAGCTTTTGAATCAATTCTTCAGCCTCTCTCAAGCTTTCTAGAGCCTTCTCGTTTTGACCCCTCATATGCTTCACGTAGGCCAACATGTTGTGAATTCCCACATTGAATTTTGTGTCCAGGAACTCAATCTCATCCAGAATTCTGTTTTCTAAATCAGGCAAGTATATGTCTATTCTCATTAAATCCCATGTGAAGTGGCATCTCAACTCAAGCAGGGCATCCATCATAGGATTCTTCTCGGACATCTCACTGTGGATACAAAAATAGAATATTTCATTATTAGGTTGTTGTTGTCTGTCTTTCATTCTCAAAGAGGACCAATGACAGCAGGAGGGTGGATGTCTTGACTTGCAAGTGAATTGGATTTAAGTGAGGGAGGGCTGTGCAAAGTCACCAGCCTCACTCTCTCCTCCAGGGTCATCTAGATCCAGTGGCAACACATAGGTCAGGATGACTGGAGACGGTCCCAGATGCAGTGAGAGACCTTGGCCTTTTTAAGCTAAGGTGTTTCCAAGGTCTCAGTTTGTCTGAGGCAACACCCATTCAGTGATTTAAGACTAGGTAAGAAATGAGGCAAAAGATGGCCTAGTTTGCCCACTCAGCAAATAAATAAATAAATAAAGATGGGAGGGGAAGACCCTTACGATTTCTGGCCAGAGCAGAAACAGTTGCTATATATACTTACTCTGAGCCAGAGGTTCCCAAACTTACTTGGCTTACCATCTCTCTCTCTCTCTTTCTCTCTTTCTCTCTTTCTCTCTTTCTCTCTTTCTTTCTTTCTTTCTTTCTTTCTTTCTTTCTTTCTTTCTTTCTTTCTTTCTTTCTTTCTTTTTCTTTCTTTCTTTCTTTCTTTCTTTCTTTCTTTCTTATTTTTTTAAGGCAATTTGGGTTAAGTGACTTGCCCAGGGTCATACAGCTAGTAAGTATCAAGTGTTTGGTCTGAGGCCGCATTTGAACTCAGGTCCTCCTGACTTCAGGGCTGGTGCTCTATCCATTGTGTCACCTAGCTGCCCCTACCATCCCCTTTTCAAAAAAAATACTCAATGCCCCCCTGGAAATCTAGTTTATTTAATCCTTTAGTGGTTTTTTTTTTAAATTTTCAAAAAATCATAAATTAAAAAATAATGATGTCTTAAATTTAATAGTTTATTGTAAATTTGTGGGGTTTTTCCTGTATTGAAATTTTGATGAGGCAATATTGTGTCATATAACTGTATAGTATCGTATTGTAAGCATGTCACAATACACACATATTCCAGCTGATATATGCTGGACTTCCCAACAGTGCCTGACATGCTCGTCTGCCGACACTTGCTTTTAAGACCTGTCAGTGGACTTGAGCACTGAGTGCTTATAACTTGCATTTTGTGTATTTGTTTGGAAAATAATGTGATCGCTGACTTTAACTCTGTTATACAACATATGAAACATGTATGAAAGATTTTGCAAAATTTTCTTCTCTTCTTTCCTTATGCTTCCACCACTCCCTTATTTTTATTCAATGTCCCCAATTGCACCTGAGGCTACTACCACCTGCTTGGATCATTCCAGCGCCCCCCTGGGGGGTGATTTGCACCCATCTTGGGAACCTATGCTCTGAGCCATCAAAACCCAAACAATGATCAAGTGAGGCTTGGTCTGGGTCCTTCTACTGGCCAATCAGTGAGAACCAGAGTGATTTGGGTTTAAGGCATGGTCAGGTAGCTCCATTTGAATCCCAATGGATTATCAAGGCCTGGTTTTCCAGAGCTCTATTTCAAGAAATCATAAATGAAACTACACAGATCAAAAGAATTAATTGTCCTGGTTTTTAAAAAAATAGAATAAATAATTAGGGAAGAGAAAAAAATCTAGCCCCCTAAACTCCAAAATATCTTGCAAGGTTGCAGTGATCAAAATTTATATTCCTTTGGTTAGAGTACCCATATGTAAGAGTATGATTCTCCATGTGGATAAAGGGAGAGGAAGGAAGGAAGGAAGGAAGGAAGGATATTCTATTTTTAAGTACTGAACAAACAATAGAAAGGAGACTAGAATGACCACCATTGAAGATGGCAGAGAAAAGACAGCAACTCATCTGAGCTATCCTCAAAACCCCTCCAAATACCTTTAAGTAATGCCATAAAATAATTCCTGGAGCAGCCAAGCCCACAGAAGTATAGGGTGTAATAATTTTCCAGCCACAGACAACTTAGAAGGTCAGCAGGAAAGGTCTGTCATACCTGGGTAAGAGTATAGCACAATCTAGTGCAGAACATGCTAGCACAAACCCAGCTCCAGCGAACCATGAGCAGTCCTTGGGAGCTGCTGAATCAGCAGTGGCAGCGGCTGCTTCTGAAGCGCTCAGCCCACAGATGGTAAGGAGGTTGGACAATGGTCAGAAGGAGATTATTACAAGGGTCCATTTTTTTCCTTTTTTTTTTTGCTAGCCCTGAGGCAGGACTCTGTTGCTTTGCCCATACTCAGATCAGGGTGAAAGTCTTGGATGGCAGTCCCAGAGTGAGGAAGTATACTAACACACCAGAGCTTGTGGTCACAGTGGAGTGTGAATTGTCACAGTTCCAGGGCAGAAAAAAGTGCTTGTGGTCACTCACAGACAAGAGCACAGGCCAGGAGAGTAGTAAACACCTTTCCTTACATCATACCACCTTGGAAGAACTGAAAACTTACAGGTCCCTAGAAGCATCTCTGAAAATAGCTGCATGAAACCCCTGAAGCTTGGAACAGTGCACCCTCCACCCTGGAAGCAGAGCCCTACTTTAACAAAGAGTTAAAAATCAAGAAATAGGCTGGCAAAATGAGCTAACAATAGAAAAAAAAATTCTGACCATAGAAAGTTACTATGGTGACAAGGAAGATCAAAACACACACTCAGAAGAAGGTAACAAAGTCAAAGATCCTACATCCAAAGCCTCTAAGAAAAATGTGAATTGGGGCCATGGAAGAGCTCAAAAAGAATTTTGAAAATCAAGTAAGACAGGTAGAAGAAAAAATGGGAAGAGAAATGAGAGTGATGTAGGAAAATCATGAAAAATGGGTCAGCAGCTTGGTAAAGGAGATACAAAAAATGCTGAAGAAAATAACACCTTAGAGACTAGGCCAAATGGTAAAAGAAATCCAAAAAGCCAATGAGGAGAAGAATGCCTTAAAAAGCAGAACTGGCCAGATAGAAAAAGCACAAAAATTCACTGAAGAAGAAGAAAAAAACTCCTTAGAAGGTAGAATTTGCTAAAAGGAAAAGGGGGTATGAAAGCTCATTGAAGAAAATAGTTTTTTTTAAATTAGAATTGAGCAAGTGGAAGCTAATTACATTGTGAAAAATCAAGAAACAATAAAATAAAACCAAAAGAATGAAAAAATAGAAGGCAATGTGAAATATCTCATCAGAAAAACAACTGACCTGGAAAATAGATGCAGGGGAGATAATTAAAAATTACTGGACTTCCTGAAAGCCATGATCAAAAAAAAGAGCCTATACATCATTTTTTCAAGAAATTATTGTGGAAAGTTGCCTAACCAGAGGGTAAAATGGAAATTGAAAGAATCCATTGATCACTTCCTGAAAGAGATCCCAAAATGAAAACTCCCAGGAATATTGTAGCCAAATTCCAGAGCTCCCAGGTAAAGGAGACAATATTGCAAGCAACCAGAAAGAAACAATTGTGGAGCCACACAAGATTCAGCAGATTCTATGTTAAAGGATCAGAGGGTTTGGAATATGATATTCCAGAGGGCAAAGGAGCTAGGATTACAACCAAGAATCACCTACCCAGAAAACAGAGTATAATGATCCTTCAGGGGTGGGTGGGGTGGACATTCAATGAAATAGAGGACTTTCAAGTATTCTTGATGAAAAGAAGAGAGCTGAATAGAAAAGCTGACTTTCAAATACAAGACTCAAGAGAAGCATAAAAAGGTAAACAGGAAAGGAAAGTTACCAGGGACTTAATAGGATTAAACTGTTTACATTCCAATATGAGAAGATGATACTTGTATATATACACACACACACACATATATACACATTTTATATCTATCTATCTATCTATCTATCTATCTATCTATCTATCTATATATGTATGTATGTATACAGAAGGCACAGGTGTGAGTTGATTTCTAAAAAATAAAATTAGGGGCTTGGAGACAAATGTGCTGGGAGGAAGGGAAAGGGAGAGGTGTAATGGGATAAATTATCTCACATAAAAGAGGCAAGAAAAAAAGCTTTTACAGTAGAGGGGAAAAGAGGGGAGTTCAGGGAGAGTGAGTATACCTGACTGTCACCAGGATTGTCTCAAAGAGGGAATAACATACACACCCAACTGTGTATAGAAATCTATCCTACCTCACAGGAAAGTAGGAGGGGAAGAAAATAAGAGAAGGAGAGCACGTGATAGAAGGGGGACAGAGTAGTCAGAAGCAAAGCACTTTTGAGGAGAGATAGGTTGAAAGGAAAGAGAGAATAGAATAAACAGGGAGGGGGATAGAATGAAGGGAAATACAGTTAGCAACAGTAACTGTGAAAAAAATTTTGAAGCAAGTTTCTCTGTTAAAGATCATTTTTCAAACATATAGAGAATGGAGTCAGATTCATAAAAATAAGAGACACTCTCCAATTGATACATGATCAAAAAGATATGAACAGCTTACAGACGAAGTAATCAAAGCTATCTACAGCCATATGAAAAAAATGCTCTAACTCACTATTGGCTAGGGAAATGCAAATTAAAACAACTCTGAGGTACCTATTTAGATTGGCTAATAAGAACAGAAAAGGAAAATGATACACATTGGAGGGGATGTGGGAAAAATGAGACATTAATGTACTGTTGGTGGAGTTGTGAACAGATTCAACCATTCTGTAGAGCAATTTGGAGCTATGCCCAAAGGGCATACCCTTTGACCTAGCAATATTACTACTAGGTCTATATCACAAAAGAAATTTTTTAAAAAAGAGGAAAAGGACTTGTATGTACGATAATATTTATAGCAGCTCTTTTCTGGTGGCAAGGAATTGAAAATTGAGGGGGTGCCCATCAATTGGGGAATGGCTGAACAGATTGTGGTATGTGATTTTGATGGAATACTATTGTGCTATAAGAAATGATGAGCAAGATGCTCTCAGAAAAACCTGCAAAGACTTCTATGAGCTAATGCAAAGTGAAGTGTGCTGTGTACAAAGTAACAGCAATATTGGAAGATAATCAGCTGTGAATGAATTAGCTATTCTCAGCAGTACAATGATCCATGACAACTCTGAAAGACTTATGATGAAAAATGCTATCTATCCTCAGAGATTTTAAACTTTTTTTCTTGAGGTTTTTTTTTTTTTGGTCTATGTTTTCTTTCTAATATGGTAATGTGAGGAGGTTCCTGCAACAGTCCAGGCATGAGATGAAGAGGATCTAGAAATGGAAGGGAAGGAATAGGAGAAACTGAAGTCGAGAGAGAGAGAGAGAGAGAGAGAGAGAGAGAGAGAGAGAGAGAGAGAGAGAGAGAGAGAGAGAGACTTGTTGTGGGCAGCTAGGTGGTGCCATAGTGCATAGAGCACCCAGCCTGGAGTCAGGAAGACTCATCCTCCCAAGTTTTTCCTGTCTCGTTACTTCTGGTGAAGGAAAAGTATTTTTGGATTGAAGAAATAAAGAAGAAAACTTGAAAACATAACTCTGTGTACATAAATGTGTGCATGGACATGTATATATGCATACCAATATGTATACTTATAGGCATATATTTATACATATATGTCCGGTGACCCAGGACTTGCACTTTGCTTCTAAGTTCATCATCTTATGCCTAGGCTGTTGGAGGAGCCTCCTAAATATTCTCACTAGACTCCAGTCTGTACTGCTGCTAGTCCTTCTTACACACCATTGCCAGATTAACATTCCTAACATAACCCCTTTCATCAGGTCATGTCCCTGTTGGCAAACCCTTGAATAGTTCCTTACTCTGTAGAGGGCAAAGTCCCAATTCCCTTCATTGGAGCCTCGGTTGACGTTGATAATATAATATCTTGGAGGGTGAACTCTTTCCCCTTTCTGGGATGGATGAGCATCTGTCTTCAGTGGGTATGAAGGATGCTCATCCATTTAAGTCTGATAAAACAGCAGCTAGAAAATTTCAAAGGCAAATAGAAGGCAAGCTCTTTACCTCATGATTGATTCCTGGTTCCTTCTTTGTGGTTCTGAAGAGATGGGAAAGAGTCTGATTTCCTCTTCAGAAGCCAGCTTTGCTTCTGTCAGGCAGTACAGGGCAGACAGAGCTAAATAGCCAAAGGAGGAGGATCTTACTGAGTCATGTGCATGTGGGTTTCGTGAAATAGAAACTGAAACTCACTCACAGTAAACTAGAGGACCTGAGTGAGTGCTAAATGATAGCACAGAGGGGTATTGAAAGATACCAACTTGGTTTTAAAACAAAACAAAACAAAACAAAACAAAACAAAACAAAACAAAACAAAACAAAACAAGACGATACTTCCTGTCTTTTGTTATACTGTTACCATCACTGCTAAATATTTACCCATCCTCTGCCCACCCTTACTTCCCCTCCTTCTCTACCCCACCCTCATTTTGCCTAGGGAACCGTTCCTTATGACAAAGAATACACATGATTGAAAGGAATAAACCACGGATATAGACCCTTCTCTGGGGCAGAATGATTTGGAAAATGTTTGGGAAAATTTTTATTAAAAATCAGGCAAACCAGTGGTAGAAAAAGTGATATAAGGCAGTGTGGGGTTAAAACTCAGAAGAAGGAAAAAGGATTTCTGTGGGCTGCATATTGTCTTAGAAAACCTCAAACTTCCTTTATGTTTCATTGCATTTTTATTTTTCTTGTTGTACATTTCCCAATCACATTTTAATCTGGTTCAGTCTTTGGGAGCTTTGCTTTTCACTTGAGGTTTGAGTATTGTGACTTGGAAACCTCTGGTGTAAGGGACTGAGGGCAGAAGTGGGACAGCTGTTTGATCTGGGGCATTTCACTTTTCTGAACCTCACTTTCCTTATCTCCAAATGTGAGCATAGGACCAAATGAACTGAGGTCTAACAGCTTATCATCTTAAGTTGAATTTGGCAAGGGACCCTCTGTATGCAGGAACAGGGGAGTATTCAGATTAAAATGTCCCCTTACTGGAGATATGGGGCTGGCAGAGTAGTGACTGATCTCCTTAGCAATGTCATTTGGAAAGTGATTTGCCAGAAAGGGATGTGTGGAAAAAAAAGAGTGTTCAAAAGCTTTCTGATAAGAGCAGAAGGCAGAACAGAGAGAGAGCTGATATTTAGCAGTAAGAAGGAAGACGAACAGCAGGCCTGAAGGAGCTAGAAAAATGAACAGAAACACAGGAAGAGAACAGAGAGAATTCCACAAATACTTATTAAATCATTTTTTTTTGTGCATGACATTGTCGCAGATATATGTAACCTGTATCCCAGCACCCAAAGCCATGAGCTTTGCAACAGGTTCAATCTCGGGGGAGTCTCAAGATTGGTTTTTGGATAAGAAAAGGCAATTCTACAAACAGACAAGCTTCAATCAGCAGAAGCCTGGATGTGCTTCTCAATTCTCCAGCCTGATCTGTGTTCACTGATCTACATACTTCTCTGACTGAATCAGCAAATCTACTTTTATAGTTTTTTTTTTCTTTTATTGGTGTTTAATTGTGTCCAACTTTACATAACCCCATGGACTTGTCTGTGGAATTTTCTTGGCAAAAATACTGGAGTAGTTTTCCATTTCCTTCTCCAGTATGTCTCCATGTTTTAGATGAGGAACTGGGGCAAATAGGAGTTAAGTGACTTGCCCAGGGTCACGTAGCTGGTAAGTGTTTGAGGCCAGATTTGAACTTAGATCTTTCTAACTCCAGGCCCAGTGCTCTATTCACTGTACCACCTAGCTGCCCCTTTCTCTTTTGTAGCTCCAGTATAAACAAGGCAGCTACAATATTCAATAGCTTAAATCACTCTAATCATCCAGTGTTAAACCTTAAAGACTCCACTGCGAAATTCTCTCTTATTAAAGAGACCTTTTTGCAGTTATTTTTTTTTTACCCATAATCAATATTCCAAATTAGGGTATTATTCTTTAAACCTTATCAGGGTGACCAGGCCCTCTTGATGAACCTTCACACAAATAAGCCACGATTCCCTATCCTCATGGTATCAATAATGACTACCTGAGTTTCTCCATCAGCTCTCTACCATAAGAAATAGAACACATGGATTTCTAAGGAGATGCTCTCCCAGTTTTTCATCAAATCTGTTTGACATTTAATAAATACCTAAGAAGGAGGTGATTTTTAATAGATTCTATGCCCACATCTTTGTACCAAAAGTTGTAAATGAGGTCACAACACTGCGCCTGTTTAAGGACTGCTACTCAGTCCACAAAGGGACCTTTTTTGTTTGTGCAGCTGGCTAATTGAACAGAATTAAAAATGTGCAATGCTGCTTAAGAGAAAGGGCTATTGATTGGATACTATGAATCATAAACTAGCAGGAAAAATTCCTTTCTCAATACAAACCTCCAAATACGTTATAAAATGACTTCTATCCCATGAAAACAGACTCCTTAACAATAACCTTATATAAATGAGACTCCTACTTACCCATAATTCTTTCTGAAAAGATGATGACAATGGATTTCCTTTCCTTGGCCCAACTAGATATACTTTGCAAATTTCCCTTCTCTTGGTGGTGGTGGTGGGGAGGATTGAGAGCCCTGAGAGAGAGAGAGAGAGAGAGAGAGAGAGAGAGAGAGAGAGCACTATGTCTTCAGGCCCTGATTACTCTTTCTATTTAAAACATATCCCTTGAGGGAGGTCTGCTAGAGGCCTGGAGAGAGCCCTCCGTCTGTGCCCACACAAGGCAGCTTCCATATTCTGTTGCTGGTCTGATCTCCCAATAGTGATGTGGAGAACCTCCACGCAAAGAAAAGCATCGATCCTTTTGACCTCAGGCCTTCCGTCTTCTCCTGACCCTGTTTCTACAGTGAAGGGGAATAAGAAAATCAGTGAGGAGCAGGACTTTCATATCCCGCTCTGCAGGTTCAGCTTCCTTCTGCTGCACAATTTCCTGTCTAATCTCTAGCCTTCAGATGGAAGAGGGGTAGTTGAAAGGCAGCCTCCTATCTGACCAAGTGCCTTCCATTTCACAATCTACTTGTCTCCAACTCCACCTCTAGCCTCCCCTGAGGCGTGGTGTCCTCCACCCAGTGATGAACATTCTCACATCTGGTCATACCTAATGCATAGTAGTGATTCTGAACCCCTGTAGATAATCATCCATTTTTATTCCCCATCCCCTACCACTTTATTTCTTATTCCCATCCCCCTCACCTCTCTCACCCTAATGTTCCAACCAAATGCCACCCACTTCTGCCACTGTGCCTTCTGAAATGCCTGCTTCATAAACAACACACTTTCCTTCATCCAAAATCTTTTCTCTCTCCTAAAATCTTCTAGTTATACCTGAAACCTGGCTCCCCTCTCATGACACAGACTCCCTGGCCACCCTTTTATAGTACTGTCTTCACCTTCACTCATTCCCCTCTACTCAGTGGTTAAGATGGGAGAGCTGGGATATTCCTTGCTTTCCCTTGCCACGCTATCTTTCCAGTTCCTCAGGCTACCAACCTAGACTTGACTCCTCACTATCTCTTAACCCCCTACCCTATTTGTCAATAAGGTCTGTTCATTTTTCACTTCTGCAGCATGTCTCAAATACATCCCCTTCTCTCTTCTAACATTGTTCAGACCTTCATCATTTCATGTCTGGATTACTTCAATAGCCTGCTGGTGGGTCTGCTTGCCTTAGGTCTCTCCCCACTTCGACCTCTCTCCATTCAGCCACCAAAGTGACTTTGCTAAAGCACAGACCTGACAATGTCATCTGCCGACTCAATAAACTCCGGGAGTTCTCTATAGCCTTTCAGATCAAATACAAAATCTTTGGTTTGGATTTCAAAGCCCTTCATAACGGAGCCCCCTCCTATCTTTCCAGTCTTCTTACACCTTACTCCTCCAAAAGTACTTTTCCATCCAGTGACATCCACCTCCTTGCTGTTCCATGAGCAAGATACCCTGTCTCTCAGATAATTTTCATGCCTTCCCTCTTAATTATTTCCTATTTATCCTGTAATGTATATAAATATTTTAATTGCTTGTTTTCTCTCCCATTAGACCATGTGCTCCCGGAGGGCAGGGGATGTTTTTTCCCCTTTTTGTGTCCCTAGAGCTTAGCACAGAGCCTGGCACATAGTAGCTGCTTAATAAATGTTTATTGACTGACTGACTTGTTAGAAAGAATATTTTTCTATTGCTGTGTAAGCAGAACTGCCAGTTTCATTAAAGGCTTGAAAGAGTTTTGGTCTGGCCTCTTTGCCTCATTCACTTTTGGGGGATTTTGGTGGCTTCCAAGATGACAACAGCTGTTGAGAAACCATGTTGACCTAGGTAGTTCAAAAGGTTGGGAGAGTGAGTCACAGCAATACAGACTGGGTTTCATAGTCAATACAGCGTTAATGCCCTGAAGAACAAAAAATGACATTTGGGAGTGACTTTTAGGATACAGTCTCATGAGGCCATTGTGCACAAGGTCCCAGTTCCTTCATTGGACCCTCAAGTCCTGGGCCTTGCTCTCTTACTTATGTAAGTAAGTACTTCACTCTGATCAGTGACTGCTCACTTTGCTGAGATCTTCTTTCATGCTTTTCAAGCCTGGTTTCTGCCTATCTAGACTATGGTGTCTGTGCCCGTATCCTTTCCCCTTTAAATGCCCTCCTCCCAGCAGTCTGCTCATCTAAATTCTACTCATCTTCTAAAATACAGCTTGAAGTCTTACTCTCTGTAAAGCCTTTGGTCTGCTATTCTCTTTCCCCCCTCTGAACTGCCCTAGCAATTATCTGTGTTACTCATTTGACATGATCGTATACTGTCTCGGAGAGTGAGTTCTCTCCTAACTGGGCTGGATGAACATCTGCCCTCAGTGGGTATGAACGATGCTCATCCATTTAAGTCCAATAAAATACCAGCTAGAAATTTCAATGGCCATAGAAAAGAAAGCAAATTCTTCACTTCATCAATTCTGGCTACTTCTTTGTGGTTCTGTAGGGATGTGAAAGAGTCTGATATCCTCTTTAGAAGCCTAGTTTACTTGTCTGATGGCTTCTCAAGGTAATTGAGTTCAGGGCTACTCAAAGAAGAAAGTAATTGGCCGATAAAGTGTGTGTTTGGGGGTGGCACAATGTACAATCGTGGCATTGAAAACCAGAATAGAAACTGGAAAGTGAAACTGAGTGTGTGTTTGGGGATCAGAGAGCAGTGTTGTGGTAATGAAAACCAGAATAGAAACTGGAAAGTGAAACTGATTCACAATGAGCATGAGGAAAAGGAGACTTAATTAGTGAATTTTGAGAGCTTTGACAGAGTCTGGGATAAGAACAGACATAATTTACTGATATATTTTGCTTTTACATAATCTTCTAAATGCCTTGTTTCCTACTGCCCTCCCTAGCGAATCGTGGACAACAGAAGATTAAAAAAAAAGTCCACAAACATAGACTGTCTGGAGCAGAATGATTTGGAAGATATGTAGGGCAAGTGTCTTGGTTTATTTAAAACCAGAAAGACAAGAGGAAGACAATGTCATCTAAGACAGAGTTGTCAAAAACAAAAATGTAGCCTGCAGGCATCATATACAGTGCAACCCACAGCAGATTAAAATGTCATTGGGAAATACTTAACAGAAGAAATACAAATACAAATACAATACAATATAGATAACATCACATTTTAAAACTAAGCCAACCTATCTATGGCCTGCGGGGATCCTGATGTGCAGATTAGTGGCTGGCCTTGTATTAGAGTTTGATGCCACTGGTTGCTCTAAGGGGTTGAGAACAGAAGTACAACGCCTTTTTCATTAAGGGATAATTTATCTCTCTGAGCCATGATTAGGGGGCCAGACACTATATGTACACTGGAGCAGTGGCATCTGGAACTTATCGGGTGGTGCTACTTCTGGAATTCAGCTCTAGTGTCCCTGTGGTCTCTGCCCTCACACCTAGAACTTAGAGCCCTAGATTCAGCCTGCCTGCCCGTCTGCCTACCTGCCCGTGCTTCTTTGTCCGCATTCCTGTATCAGCCTTGACCCAACATGTTACCTTCCTTACTCTGAGTCTTCCCAGGTCTTCTGTACCAGCCCTGATCGAGGCCTCAGGCTTCTGTCTTTGCACCAGGACCTCTTCCAGTGCTCCAAAGATCAGGCCAGACCCGCCTTGAAATGCCAGCTCCTACTTCCTGTCCAGTCTTCAGGAATGTACCTTGGATTGATCCTATTTGTTGTCAGTTGGGCCTCCTGGGCTTTATAAGACTCAACATCATTATTTGCCACCAGGTGGACTTCAAGAGAAGGTCCTGCGTGATATAATCACCTCCTTTCCTTAATGGATTGCTTCCAGTTACTAATCTGCTTTAACTCATATTAGTCATATTCTCCCATCCCAATGATTCTGAAACCCTAGATGTCATTCTACAAATCCCATTCTGTCTCTCTACCTGCTCCCTTTTCCCCAATCCCCTTCAACCAGACCCCTCACAAGGGGTCCAATCTGTACTCCAGCTCCACCCAGCCCTTCCAGTGTGCCCTCCAGAATGACCGACGACTCTATTGTTAAGAATTCTGATTGCATCTCAGACCTTTTTGCTTTTTCACTCCTTCTATCTTCAACTTGGCGAGGAATCTGTCTCCTTCCTGATGACATGGCATCACTGGTTACTCTCTCCAGCACTGGTTCCAACTTCACTCATACCCCCTTCCTGCATTAGTCTTTGTAGGGGAGTCAGAATTCGCTTTGCTTCCCATTACACACTTCTGGACTCTCCTTTGATCTCCTTCAGATATTTGCTAGCTGGGTGACCCTGAGCAAGTTACTTAATCTTTGTGTGCCTAAGTTTCCTCAGCTGTAATGGGGGACATTAATAGTGCCTACCTCCCCAGGTTGTTATGAGACAGTATTTGTAAATGAGATGGTATTCTGTAAAGTGCTTCGCACAGTGCCTGACACACAGTAGGTGCTTAATTAATGCCTGCTTTCTCCCTTCCTTCCTTCCCTACCTCAAATCTCTTTAAAATCTAGTCCATCCTCCACTGAGCTCCCAAAGTGACTCTCCTAAACCACAAGTCTTATTATGTCATCCCCCCATAAAACAAACATAACTCCAAAACCCCCACCCCCACCCCCACCACCAAACTTCAGGGGCTTCCTATTCATTGTCTTCAGGGTCAAAACTCAGGATCAAAAGTCTGTTTGGCTTTTAAAGCCTTTCATAATCTGATGCTGTCCTACCTTTGCAGTCTTCTCACACCTCACATACTACCCAGATGTGCTCCAGATGGCCTCCTTTTCGTGCCCCAAACAAGACATTCCATCTCCTAACTCCAGGTATTTTTACTGTCTGCCCCAAATGCCTGAACTGCTTTCTCTTCTCATCTTCACCTCCAAGCTTCCCTGGCTTCCTTCAAGTCTCAGCTAAAAGCCCACCAGGACAAACAACAACTAAATCCCACCAACTAGGATTTTAGGCAAGAAGCCTTTCCTAATTCTCCTTACCTTTGAGTGCTTTCCCTTTGAGATTTCCTTCCGCATACTCTGTATGTATCCTGTAGTAACTAATTGTTTTTATGACGTCTCCCCCATTAAAATGTGAGTTCCTAGAAGGCAACGACTGTTTTTGCCTTTCTTCGTATCTCTAATGATTAACATAATGCCTGGCATATGGTCAGTCTATCTCTTTTGCCTTTTGGAATATTGTATTACAAGAATTCCTCTCGTTCTCAGGTCTCTGCCGGGGCTTGTGCAATCTTCGCTAGCTTTACTTGAACTCTGTTCGGGATATTTGTGATATTTTTTTTTTCTTTACTATGAGAAGTCTAGATTTTTGCTGGCATGTTTCCTTTTGGGGTTCCTTTCAGGAGGTGATTGGTGGATTCTTTCTTTGCTTTGACCTTTGGTTCTAATATATCTTTTCAGTTTTCATTTGTGATTTCTTGAAATATAATATCTAGATTTGTGTTTGTCAT